TATCCACACTGTTGAATTGGGCTGTAAGATTGGATAAATTTACTGTTATTTTTTTGTCCATCTGTAAAAGCAGATTTGCCATATGCAATGATATAATATCACAGCTTGCTGTAAATGGCACAGTCTTCCTCTCTACTATGAATAGAACGTCGCTGGTTCGAATTCGGATCTCGAGGTCTTTGTGAGGAAAACTTATACACCGTTGTTCCCCTACACAGCAAGTTTGATAGATCCATTGGTCTCACACATTGTAATGACGGACGCGTAGAAACTTCTGTAAATGCGCCTGTTGAAGGCGTTCTTGCACTATGGCTGATGACTGACGACGAAGATCTTGTGGTTTACCGAATATTGGACGTTGTTAAGGCCGAGACGTAGCCTGCAACTATTTTCAAGGGTTTCATTTATCTTTTGAGCGCTTTTGGAGTATTCTGCTTTTCAGCAATTCGGATACCAGACCTCGTGAACTATTCTGAGGTCTCGCCAACCTTCATCCAATCCGATGAATAAGGGAAAATGAAGCACTTTACGCGGCTTGGATCAGCAAAAGGTATCATTGTCGAGAAGCAGGCAGAACCATCGTTTAACCATATTGGAGCAGCACCATGCAACACTTCCAGGTACTGGGAGATGAATTTAAGATTGGAATTGGGGTTGCACCTAATATTGATTCACTGCGTAGTCACCAGGCGGGTCAACGCGATAGACAACCACAACGGGCGCTCGCATCGGACAGCAGGACCGTACACCTCGTCCATTCTGGCATAACAAGGCCAGAATACGATGCTGTCTCTATTATTGGCAAGTGCCCGACTTACTGTCCGTTTCTCGTCTGGTTGCGTTGATGGAGTGTCAGGTCAATTCTTTGCGCAAGATAATTTGCCGTTAAGACAGTGACTGTCCTTGAAGAGATTTGAGTGCGACACTTCCGAAGTTCAAAGCCGACCTCTTCAGCATTTATGCCATCACCCCACCCCCAAATTGATCCTTCAACGGTTCTGAGTTCATATAGCGGCTGGTGCTACCTGAAAGGTTGTCCCGAACTTCTAAAACAACATACTGTCTATGTTCTGTCGAGGAAGTGGTCTGCAAAGGTAAACTTTTTCACTGTTGTGACTACGGTTCGAAGTGCCATGGAAGCAGTCGATTGGTGAATGGAAGCAAACAGGCGATGCAATCTTGCATGATAACTCGGTGAAATGACTGTCAACCGTCTTACACTATCACAATATAAAGCAATTTTATTTTTTTCAACGCGCGAGCACGGCTTCAGTAATTGAAAGACAGTATATGCTTGCGGCCGAATCGGAAAGATGTCATTCTTCGCAACTACCTCGGATCATAGGAGTTATATGTTGCAAAATTTTCTGTATATTTCTCATCGATAGTAATTTGGTTGATATTCGAACAGTTTCTCGCTTGGCCCAACTCAGCGACGCGGTCTTGCAACAAATGAGGTCCTATTATTCTTTGTTCATCTACTGCTCGATAAAGGCATCTCCTATATTTTGCTATGGACCTCTGTTTTCTGCCATTTTCGTTTACCTTGATCGAGCTAACTTCTTCAGTTCATCCGGCCATAAATCCGAAACTTTGCTGTTTCCTCATACCTAGTATCATTTCATTCTCGGGCAGCTATGATCGGTTCTTCTTCCAGTGAATCTCGTCCATAGTCACTTAAAATTTCTTAACTTGCACAATTGACATCGCAGACTTTTGTATGTACTCTAATCCATTCATCTTCATCTCCAATAACTGCTTTTCCTTTTCCTTTCGGATCGCACAACTAGACAGTTCTTCACAACATTCCCCAGCCTTTGCCAGAGCCTGAACTTCGGCAGAATACAACCTGAATTCAGAGCAGACTCCTTCCATATACTTGCGCCAGGTTAATCTTCCCGTCCCCTGGCCTTTCTGCCAGTCACTTGGGCAAGAAATACTTATTTCGTCTTCCTTTCTGGAGGCATTCATCACACATGTCCAAACCATCGTAGCTGTGATTTCTCAATTTGAAGAACCAGCGGCTGTACACGAGGGCTCTAGAGAATTTTTGAACTCCGGATCATGTCGAGAGGCGTAAAGCCAGCGACTCCTCTGAGAAAGACCATTTTAATCGTTTGTATCCGGCGTCGACAGTTTTCAGTCATGGTCTATGACTGATGCCCGTACATGACCACAGGGATGAAGATCGACTTGAACACCGCCAACTAACTCTCCAGACTTAGTTCTGTTTATGTCACAGTTGTTAGAGCTTGTTCACGCAGAACGCAATTCGCTGTTCTGATTAACCGGCAAACCTCTTCCTCCCATATGTCATCACCAGTAAACACAATTTTCAGAAACGTGAACTTCTTCACCTATAAGAGAAAACGGACAGGAGAACGAGAAAGCACTAGACATTTTAGATGCGTTCAGAGGCATGCCGGCCAAGTCGCACTGGGCTGCGAACCTTTCTAAGGAGCACTGTAGATCAGTTTCAAAACATGCCAACAAAACAAGGTCGTCTGCAAACAGCAACTCATCGCCTTAGCTGCTCCTGAATATTCTATCCATGTACAACACAAACAGGAAAGGGGACAGGACGAAGCCTTGGCGGAGACCAGTGCCAACGTTGAAGGTTCTTGACTTAACACCATTTACTCTTACGCAGTATCTGCTATCAGCATATAGTGATTGGGCGACCGTTAACAACTGCCAATTGATCAAATATGTTTGCGAGCAGTCACATAGCTTGTTGTGCTGGCTGCGGTCATGCGCTTTCTGTAGGCCAGCAAAACACATATTTGTTCCATGAACGAACGCTACTTCTCAGCAATCTGGCTTAACTCCAACGTTTGGCCAGAGGAATTTGGGCCTCACCTTCAAGACACACGCCAGTTGAATCATAAAGTCCGTTTTTCCGAGGAAGCTTCTTCCTGGAACCTTGGCGTAGAGTTTTCTTGGCAGTGCCCTGATCTCTGCAATCTATTTGATAGCCAGTTGAACCTCTCTTGACGAGCAGGAACTTCGTTTTTGACATCTAGGTATCAGCCAACCCGTCTGAATCCGCAGCATTTGGCGACAGTATCGAATATGCCGCTCTTAAAGAGCTGCCATCGGTGGTCATCACCGGGATCTGTTCAAACCGTCGTGCGATGTTGTTTGCAAATTTCGCTCTCGTGTCCACTGAAGACATTGTTTCCCATTTGATTCTCCGGTTGCTTCTGCCACGGGATCTTCGTATGGTACTCGATTTCTTACAGCGCAGCGTGCCAACAACAAACTGATGATCGGTTGATAGCTCTGCGCCTCTTTTAACACGAACATCCATTATCGAGGCTCTTAACTCAGACAGTCGATTATCAAATCGATCATCGACTTCTGTGCACAAGCTTTCCGTTATCAGGTGTGCTGATGCACTTTTCGATGCTCGAAGAAGGTGTTCATAATGGACAATCCGTTGTTTACACAGAACCGCAACAACTTCATGCCGTTATTGTTGAGGTCGTTAGGGCCGTTCTTTCGAATCACGCCGTTCCACTTTTCAGCGTCTGCTCCAACGTGCGCATGAAAATCGCCCATCAGTATGAGGGACTGTGTATTCGGCACTTCGGACAGAGCACACTGCACTTCCTCAAGGAAGGTGTCATATTCTCCTTCCAAATTGGGCTCACGGACCTGTACCAAGGTCATCGATTCAGCCTGTTGTAGCTTCAGTCGGAGGATTACCACCCTTCGCTGATAGGCTTCCGATCGATTATTCTATCGGCAAGGTTGGGTTCTATCAGAACGCCAACACCGGCCTG